TGGACCATCTCCCTTGCAAACAGCTGGAATGAGTGCAGCCAACAGCAGCATCCCCAGAAACCTCCAAGCCCTGCCCTGATCGTGTCCCAGCAGGGTGGTTTGCATCTCCCTCCATGGGAACATGAGCCCCAGGTGCCGTTTTGGGGCAGCACAGCCAGATTTACTGCTGTGCCTGGATGCTGCCCTGTGCTATGGGCAGGAGGGCCCCAACACTTGGGGCTGGACAGCACCACTGCACACACCAGTGTGCCCACCAGAGCTGAGCTGTGCCTGTGGGGCAGGAGCCTGCATCACTGCCAGCAGGCATGGAGGCCCCTTCTCCCCTCAGCTGCTCCCAGACAGGGGACACTGCCACTCCTGAGCAGCCAAGCTGGAAAAGACACACCAGGGGCAAGAGGGTCACCTCCCCAGGCCGGGCGAGCACCTGCTCAGTGAGGGAAAACCCCAATAATAACCCTTCTTTCCACCCACAGAGACCCAAGAGGTGCTTGCCAGCAGCACTCCGAGCTGCTGCCTCTGCACCACAGCTGAGGACCCCAGCCCAGTGTGAGAAAATGCAGCGTTACCTCCTTCTTCCTCCTCTTGATTTTGGCAGCCTTGCCATCTTTCACTTTCTTGCATTTCTTCTTTTTCTGTACCACAACTTGGTCTTCTGCAAAAAACTCATCCAATCCTTCCAGCACCCCATCATCTTCTTCTGGGGACAAAAGGGACAGCTCACATATGGACAGACTGCACAGGACACCACGCTCACCATGACAGAGGAGCACAGCTGAGCAGCAGCTTCAGCCCACCAGACACAGAGCTCTGTGGCCTCTCCAGCAGACCCTCACACTGGCAGCTGCCCCACTGGTGCCCCTTGAGGGTCTTGCCCAGCAGCACCAACCTCAGCTCGTCCCCTGCCCAGATCCTCCTGCCCCTCACACCCAGCAGGGAGGTGTGGGCAGCCCACGCTGCGCTCTCGAGATGGACATGGGGACATCCCGTGTGCTGCTGGGCCTGCAGACACTGGGGGAGCACTCGGCTGTCACCTTCCTGATCCCCAGGCAGAGCTCATGAAAACACAGTGAGTGGAGGAGAGGAAGGGCTCATGAGGAAAATGGGTGCCACAGCTGCCAGGTTGTTCTGGGCTGCTCACAGCAGCTCAGGGACCCAGCCCTGGGCAGAGGCACTGGTGCTAATGCACACCTTCCCTTCCCATCATTATCTCTCCAAACCCAGGGCATCCCAGCCAGTCTCCACACAGCTTTAGGCCTGCATCTTTATTTTTGATTTCTGAGCTCACACAGCAACAGCACTTTGGGGTGGTCAGGATGTATTGATCACTCGACTTCTGAGAGGCCCTGGCATGGCTTGCCCAGAGAAGCTCTGGATGCTCCATCCCTGGAAGAGATCAAGACCAGGTTGGATGGGTCTTGGAGCAACCTGGGATAGTGGAAGGTGTCCCTGCCCATGGCAGGGGTGGAATTGGATGCTTTAAGATCCCTCCCAATCCAAACCATCCTGCGATTCCATAATTCACTGATTCATGCTGTGCTGGTTTAGGTCTGACAGGGTGGGCATCGCTGCACCAAGCCCAGCCCGGGGAACCAGCCGGCCCCCGGGCACGGTCCGAGTGGGAACGGGCCACCGAGGACCGGGCACAGACCGCTCCGGTCCGGGGAGCGCGGACAGCGGGAATCGCCCGCAGCACGGCCGGACCGACGGGGAGCGATGCCACCGCCCCGCCCGTGCCCCCCGCCCGCTGCCACCGCCTACCCGACACGTCCTCCTCGTTGTCGGCGTCGTCCAGCAGCTCCCGGGCGGCCGGCGGGCCCCGCATGCCGGGCGGGGCAGCGCCCGCCCCGGGCCGAGCGCCGGGGCCGAGCCGGGTGCGGCCGCCGCAGGACACGCCCCTGGCCCCGCCCCTCGCGAGCCCAGCCACGCCCCCGGTCACACCCCCCGCTCGCCGCTCCCCGAAAAGCCCCAAACCCCCCCAAAGCGACCCCCGGAGCCGCCACCGAGCACGGGCTATGAACAACTCTGCCGCTGTTTATTGCAGAAAAGTGAAACTGTACAAAATGGCCGTCAGCGGCGGCGGGGCTCAATCCTCTTCTTCCTCCTCCTCCTCATCCTGGTTGATCTGGAAGTAGCGCAGCTCGTAGCTCTCCTTGCTGTTGGCCACCACGCGCAGCCAGTCCCGCAGGTTGTTCTTCTTCAGGTACTTCTTGGTCAGGTACTTGAGGTACCTGCGGGAGAGGCATGGCTGACAGCGGTGCCCCTCTGCCCCCTGCCAGGCCCCAAGTGGCATTTTGGCTAATACATCTTTATTCCCGTGGGCTCCCGCCTCCAGCAGGACCAACACATCCCACCGGCCACCTCCTAGCAGAGCTCCTTCCAGGAAACACTGCAACCAGGGAATGGCACCACAATGCCACGACACGGATCCTGGGAGATGGCTCTTGCCCCAACAAGGCTGTGAGCCCAGTGCTTTGTACCCACCCCAGAGGGAATCTCCACTGGGATGCGGGATACCCGCTGCTGGGATGTGCCAGGTGTGGCAGCAACGTGGAGCAACGGCGTTGGGAGAAAGGCAGGCGCTCACAGGGCAGGGCACGCCCACCACCCACACAGCTCTGCTTTTCCCAGCCAGCTCCTGAGCCACCTCTGCCGTGGCACAGCCCCGCTTTGCCGGTGCCAGCCAAGGACAGGCAGCCTGGAGAAGCGGGCAGAGGGCCAGAGCACCACGGGATGAAGGGAACAATGTGGCACACCTTGGCACAACCACACTTTGCTGATGTCGGCCCAAGGAGGACCAAAACCCCACAAGATGAGGGGAACAACCTGAGACCTTGTCTGCAGATAGCCCTAAAGTGTCCCCTCAGCCTCTTCTGGCTGCAGGCCCCCTCAGTGCCCAGCCCAGCAGCCTTCCCAGCTGGAATACCAAACACATTCCTCTCCCATAAACCATTTGGGAAGAGCAGCCCCTCAGCCAGTGCCAAATTGCAGCACAACTCCCGCACTGAGACACCTCTTCCCTGGCAGCCCCTGCTGCCCACAGGCTCCGTGCATGCCCTGCCAAGGGCCATCTGCAGCCACACCGACCAAGGGCCCAGCAGGACCGGCCTGCCCCTCCTCACCTCTTGGAGAACGGCACCTCTGACGTGACCGTGATCTTGCTCTTGCTCCTCTCGATGGTCACCACGCCCCCGCCCAGGTTTCCCGCTTTGCCGTTCACCTTGATCCGCTCCTGCAGGAACTGCTCCTGCGGGAGGAACGCAGCTGTGAGCCAGGGCTCCAGCCAGACACAGCCCCCAGGGGCTGGCTTGTGGAACAGACACCAGAGCCCCCACAGCTCGGGAGAGCCCCTTCCTCAGGCCAGGCTAAGCCACACCTGGGTGAGGTGCTCAGGCCTGGGCACATCGGCCTGGCGTGGTGGGGATGTCCCTGCCCCACAAGGGACAGCCAGGACAGTGGGGTCAGGCTCCTCTGAGCCCCCTAGGCTCGCCTAGGACCATGCTGGAGTGCAGTGTGGACTGGCATAGGTTCGTGACCCCAAAATGCAGCATCCCTGGCCTCGCTACACCCCTGCCATGACACAAACTTACCCAGCAGACATAGACAGGAAAACTGCCCATGGACAGGGACAACGCTTGTGCTTTAACTACAAAATGTCCCAAACCCAGCCTCATGCCCAGCCCCAGCACTCCCTGCTCCTCTGCCCATGGGATGGCCTCAAGGGAGCAGGGCAGAGCCGAGGGATGGCCAGGGACGTTCGGGGCCGCTGGGAGCGGAGCATCACCCTGCGAAGGGCCCCGAGGGCGGCGGAGCCATCACGGCTCCCGGAAAGGCCCCGAACTCACGAAGTTGGCGGCGTCCATGATGCCATCCTCGACGGGGTGCGTGCAGTCCAGCGTGAACTTCAGAACCTGCTTCTTTTTCTTGCCACCTTTCGCCGCTGGCTTCTTCTGCTGTAGGGGGAGAGAGAGAGAGACGGTGAGCGAGACAGAAAGGGAGGGGGAGCGCCGTGAGGGACGGCGGGGAGGGGCCGGGCCGAGCTCCGGGTGGCGGGGAGGGGAAAGGCCCAGGCCCGGATGGAGATTTGGGACAGCGCGGTGGGAACGGGGCTCGCCCGCCGCCCGCCTCCACGGTCCGGATGGGCGGCGGGCGTCGCGTGGGGCCCCGGGAAGGCGCGGGCCGGGCCTGGCCCCACGCGGAGAACAGCAGGCGGCGGGGCTGGGAGAGGCGGCGGGGCTGCGGGGGTGCCGGGGGCTCGGGGCGGGGGGCGGCGACGGCCGGTGCCGGTCCCGCGCTCACTCACCGCGGGCGCCATGGCGGCTCCGCGCGAGGCAGAAAGGGAGCGCGTCCCGCGCGCCTGCGCACAACCACGCTCGGCCGTGCCAGCCGTGCGCCGATGGCGTCGATCGCTTCCGGTCCCATCCGCGCAGGGAGACTGCGAGCGGACAGTGATGCCTGGTGGGGCGGGGCTAGCGCAGGGGCAGGGACGTGGGCGGGGCCGAGCGGGGGCGTGGTCTGTAGGGCGCGAGCGGCCGGGAGAGGGGGCGGAGCCTCCGGAGCGCGGGGAGCGGCACGTGCGGGGTGGGGACACGGGAGCGTCACCGGACACGGAGCGACCCCCGCGCCCCGGGAGCGTCACCGGACACGGAGCGACCCCCGCACCCCGGGAGCGTCACCGGACACGGAGCGACCCCCGCACCCCGGGAGCGTCACCGTGCATGGAGTGATCCCGCACACCGGGACTCCTCACCGTGCACGGAGCGACCCCCGCACTCTGTGGCTCCTCACCTCGCACAGAGTTACCCCGCACCCCGGGGCTCCTCACCGCGCACCGGGTGATTCCCGGGCACCCCGGGGAGCCTCGGCGCTTACTGGGTGAGCCCAGCGCCTCCTGCGGGCTAGCCCGGCCCATGCAGATGGCCGTGTCCCCAGCCTGGGTGGCTGGCAGTGTCCTGTCCGGCCCCGCCGCGGGGCCCCGAGGAGCGCACGGGGCTATTTTTGGGCCGTGGCGTGGCAGTGCCAGGGGGCCCCACGTCACAGGGTCGGCCGGGCTCTGCCGCCTCGGCATCGCTCTCATTCCTGCCGGCACACGGTGAGCAGCAGCACAGCTCGGCTCGGATCCCCCGACTTACAGACAGGGAGAGGTAAAGCCTTCACCTGGCCAGGACACACCTGTGCTCAGAACGGGGACTCCCGGCATGTGGGGCACCTGGCTGCCTTCACTGCCAGGCTGCCATCCTAGGGCACATCCCTGGGCAGGGGACACCCCATTCTAGAGAATGCTTCCTCAGGGGGAACACCCTGTCCTGGAGGAACCCCCACCCCTGTCCTGGGGGATGCTCTGCTGCAGGGGATGCTCCTTTGGAGGGGACAGCCCATCCCAGGGGATGCTCCTGCTTGGGGGGACACACACCATGGGGACACTGTGCTGTGGGGACCATCTGACCCCACGCTGCAGCCCCCCAGCCTGTGATACCAGGGGAAGGGGTGCGCTGGGAGCAGCCTCGTGCCACGCAGCTCATAACCTAAAAATAGTAGCTCACAGGCCCTGGGACAGGATTTGTCCTTTGTGTGGCAGCCACAGTGCTCTCATAAACTGGTGCCACATGGGGTCCCTGCACACAGACTTGGCTCTCAACCCCACAGATGGCGGGTGGCATTTTCTCCCCACTGGGGAGCTGCTCGGAGCTGGAGAAGGCCAATTGCCATCCGCTGGTGTGCCTGCTCTGCCACGAGCCCTACCAGCACCCCTGCCTGCTGGACTGCTACCACAACTTCTGTGCCAGCTGCCTGCGAGGCCGTGCCAGCGATGGGCGCCTGCGTTGCCCACTCTGCGGGTAAGGGCCGGGGCCCGCCAGGATTGGGGCACAGCACAGGGCTGGCAGCTCAGCACAGCCCTGCTCCCTGCGTCCCCAAAGCTGCCCTGCTGCCCCAGCGGGTGTCCCTATCCCTGCTCCCATCTCATCCCTGCAGGCACCCCTCAGTGGTGAGGGGAGGCACGGGGCTGCCCCCCGTGGACCGGCTGCTGCAGTTCCTGGTGGACAGCTCGGCCGACAGCGAGGAGGACGTGCAGTGTGCCAACTGCGACCGCTGCTGCACCAAGGCGGTGAGCGCAGCGGGGTGGACTGCCAGGGTGGTAGGGGACCCCTGGCAGGGCCATGCCTGCCACCAGCTCTGTCCCCTCACACAGGAGCTGGACACCATGTACTTCTGCAACACCTGTGGGCAGCCCCTCTGTGCCCCATGCCGTGAGGAGACTCACCGTGCCAGGATGTTCACCCGCCACGAGATCGTCTCCCTCTCCAAGCGCACCAAAGACATCCACAAGAAGTGCCGTGAGTGCCATGCCAGGCTGCCCCGTGCCACGCCATGCTGCACTGCGCCGTGCCAGGCTATGCCACGTTCCTGTCCCCTGCAGCACTGCACGAGGAGCCCTACATCATGTTCTCCACCGAGAAGAAGTCCATGCTCTGCATCAACTGCTTCAGGGACATGCAGGGGTGAGTAGTCCCAGCCCCATGGTCGCTGTGTGCCCCATCCTGTGCTTTCCCCTATGTCTGTGCCTGCAGGGAGAGCCGGGCACACTGCATCGACATCGAGACGGCGTACATGCAGGGCTGCCAGAGGCTGGACCAGGCAGTGATGGTGGGCAGGGCCGGGGGGTGTGGGGGTGGCGAGGGGGTGCGGTGCTGTCCCCTGCACTGCAGCCACCTCGCCACCCCGGGCAGGCTGTGAAGGAACTGCAGACCTCCACGCGTGAGGCCATTGTCCTGCTCAAGGCCATGATCGAGGAGGTTCGCAACAGTGCCAGCGAGGAGGAGGCGGCCATCAACTCCCTCTTCAGCCGCATGCAGGTGCGAGGCGGTCACCTGCACATGGAGCCCTGTGCCCGTGGGACAGAGCCAGGGCAGTGGGAAGGGACTGGGGTGGCTTCAGGACACAGGACGGCTGTGCCATTTGCAGGAGCAGCTCTCTGAGAGGAAAAAGACACTCCTGAAAGCTGTGCAGAGGTGAGGGACCATGGGCTGAGCCCTGTCCGAGGGCTGAGCCCCCCTCCCAAGGTGTTTTGGGATGCCTCGGGTAGGATGGCTCCCTCGGGTCTTGCAAAGGCTGTGCCATGTCCTGCTCTGCTGCAGCCAGCACGAGGAAAAGGAGAAGGCATTCAAGGAGCAGCTCGCCCACCTTGCCTCCCTGCTGCCCACTCTGCAGGTAGGGCCTCACAGCAGGCAGGGACATCCTGATACCAAAGCCAGGTAGTGACAGACCCCCTCCACACACACAGGTCCACCTGGTGACCTGCTCGGCCTTCCTGAGCTCTGCCAACAAAGCCGAGTTCCTGGACCTGGGCTATGTGAGTGTTGCCAGCGCTGCAGGGGTGGTCAGAGCATCCTGCGGTGGTGCTGAGCTCATGAGCAAGGTGCTGAGCACCCCTCACCATGCTTCACTGCTGCCTTTCAGCAACTGATGGAGAGGCTGCAGAGGATCGTCAAGCTGCCACACCGCCTGCGGCCGGCCCAGACCAGCAAGGTAGAGCCCTGCCTGCAGTGTCTGCGGGCAGTGCCAGCTGCCAGCTCTGCCCCAGCCCAGCTGTACTCTCCTCTCTTGCCCCCCAGATCAACAGCGAGTACCGGGCAGAGTTTGCCCGCTGCCTGGAGCCCCTCCTGATGCTCAGCCCCCGCCGCTCCGTGGTGGGCAGCGCTGGTGGCATTGGACCTGGCATCACTGGCACAAACATGTGAGGTGCTAGGATTGCACCCAAGGCACATGTGCTACTGTGTCCCCTGCCACGTGCCACACTGCACAGTTCCATCAGCATCTCACCGTGCCAACCTTGCCCCTGCTGCTGCCCTTGAGCCTGTCAGCTCAGCAGGGGTCCCAGGACAGCACAGGCACAGCTGCACTGATGAACAACAGGCTTCAAGTGACACTTCTGGGAAGTGGGGTGGGTGGCAAAGGGGTGGGCAGCAGCAGGGCTGGCAGCTGGGGGCCTGATTAAGCCTCACTCTGTTCCCCAGCCCGGCCCCTGCCACACTCCCTGGAGGGCTCTGCCCCCTCTCCATCGGTGCTCCACCTGGGCCAGCTCCTGCTCGCCCACATGCCCGTGGTGCCGCAGCCTCTTTGCCCGCCACTATTTTTATCAGAATTTCAGAGAAGTGCTCGGCCATTCTTCACCAGGGATATATTTAGGCCTGTTGATGTCACGGCAGCACCCGCCCTGCCAGGCCCTCCCAGACAGAGAGGACAAACGGGCACCGCTGCCCCATGGGGACCGCTCCTCGCCCCCAGCCAGGCTTGGCACTGCAGGGTGGCTGAGCTCCTGGGGGCTGCTGGCCCCAGCACGGGCAGGGGGAGCACGGCGCTGCACGGTAGGACCAATGGTGGTGGTGGTTAGCACGGGGAGACCATGGGATGGGGGGAAACACAGGGGCAGTAGTGCCTGCCAAGGGGCCAGGAGATACCAGTGGTGAGAGAGCGACCTGTATCCCACCTTTAGAAACTGGAGGGTGCCGGGCTCAGCTCCTGGCTTCTGACTGCCACAGCTGGTTCCAAAACTGCAGGAATCTGGAGAGCAGCCCACAGAAATAGGATTTTTGGGACAATATAAGGCACCTCTGACTGAACCTCTGTGCTCGGGTGAGGGAAGGACGTGTGGGACTGGTGTGTCCCACCGGAGCCAAGGGGCGGTGGGACTGAGCTGGCAGCATGGTCCCTGGCACGTCACCCCCACTGCTGCTCACCTGCAGCACTTCACTGTCACCTCTCCATGCAGGCTCCCCGGTGGCCAATGCTCCAAGACCCTCATGGTGCCCAGCTGCCCCCCCACCAGTGACAAAATGTCCACCGGCCCCATGGTGAAGAAGCCAACGATGCACCGGTACATCAGCACCAAGGTGCTGCTGGCTGAGGGGCGTGAGACCCCCTTTGCCGAGCACTGCCGCAACTACGAGAACACCTACCGGGTAGGGAGCACGGGTGGAAGCAGGATGGGACGGGACAGGACGGGCCAGGTTGGTGCTGCTCACGTGGCTGTGCCCCCTGGTTCCCGCAGATGCTGCAGACGGAGATCCAGGGCCTGAAGGACCAGGTGCAGGAGCTGCACCGTGACCTCACCAAGCATCACTCACTCATCAAGTCGGAGATCATGAGCGAGATCCTGCAGAAGTCGCTGCAGATGGACGTGCAGATCGCAGCTCACTACTCCGCCGTGGAGATGATGCGCAGCGTCTTTGAGGAGGTACAGCTGGCACATCCTGGCAGAGCAGGGCCCCTCTGTGCCGTACTGCCGCAGACTGCCCAGCTGCCTCTCTTCCTTCCAGGTTTGGGAGGAGACCTACCAGCGGGTAGCAAATGAGCAGGAGATCTATGAAGGTACCGGTGACCCCACGCTCCCTCCCCATGCCCCCTGTGCCCACACTGAGGGGGTGGCCGTGTCCCAGCCTGCTCCTCTCGCCCCCAGCCCAGCTCCATGACCTGCTGCAGCTGCGGCAGGAGAACAGCTGCCTGAGCACCATCACCAAGCAGATCGCGCCCTACGTCCGCTCCATCGCCAAAGTGAAGGAGCGGCTGGAGCCCAGGTGAGGGGTCCAGGGACTTTGAGGGCCAGGGGGGACATAGCTCATGGCTCACACCCATCCTGCCTCAGGCTGCAGGAGCCCCAGGAGCCCAGAGAAGAACAGGACCAGATGCTGCTCAAGATCTGTGACAATGAAGTGGTGACAAGGTAGGTGACAGCAAGCACCTGAGTGCCAAGTTCCTCCCATGCCCTTTCCCAGACAGTGACCCTGTCAAGGTGTCTTCCCTTCCCCAGGGATGCCTCACCTGGCAGCAACAAGGGGGCTTCAGCCAGCCCCGGGGAGGGCTTCATACCCAGGGACACCCCTGGAGACTCGTCCCCAAAAAACAAAGACTGCTGCAGGGGCCAGCACAAGAGCGGAGCAGAGACTGCTGCCCCAAAAGAGCCAGCACCGTAGAGCCCAGTGCTGGGCACGTGGCAGAGCTGCTGGGCAGAACCATGCCCCAGTCACTGATCAGCTCCTCTTGCCCAGTGCCACAAACCAGGGCAGCAAACAGCCTGGGCAGCCGTGTCTGCAGCACATACAAAGGCCTCAGGTGGACTTGCTTCTGAAAAACTCTCTTTGTGCTCTTCCTTGCGTGTGTCAGAGTGAAATAAAAGGGTGCAGTTGTCCATGTCTGCGTGGTTCTGCAGTGCTGACAAAAGGGATCTGCTGGCTCAGGGTGTCCAGCTGCTCCTAAAACCACAACATTGGAAAATTATGGGGAAAAATAACATCTCCTGATGCAGGGCAGGGCAGGGCCAGGAGTACATGGCCAGGTGATGGGGCATCCTGTGAAGTTCTGGGCAGCTACACACCAACATGGGCCAGGTGCCAGGAACAGCTGCTCTAGAGGTTCCCTGCACATGTGGGAAACTAAGAACTCACCAATCACTGTGGCACAGAGGGCAGGGTTTCACAGTTTACTCCAGCTTTTCCCTAAAACTTCACATGCCTTCACCACACCCAGTAAGCTGCTGTCTCCTCACAGAGCTTCTGATCACAGGATTTGGGAAAAGAAAAGGTTAAGAGAAGCTGTTGGTCTCAAAAGCTTGAAGAGACACTGAAGGTTTTGCTCAGGGTGAAGTTTATCCCTTTCTTTTGGTGCCAATGCATCCTGCTTGGACAGAGCCTACACAGCTGGAACCTGTGAAATTAGGATCAAGGTTCATTTACTATGAAGAACAATCTGGGAATGAGGCTTTGTTGTCAAACACCACATCAAACCCAAGTGACAATTACTTGTTCCAAAGTTCCTTTGATCAAGGGCACAGCAGGAACATTACTGCCTACAAAAAAATTGTACAGATTACGGATTAATTACAGATTAACCTGCTTCAGGCACCACTGGCTGCAGCTAGTGCTTCCCTGAGACAAGAACAGCCCAGGTGGGAGCCTCCAAGTGCCCAGCACAGATCAGCACTCTCCAAGTGGTGAGTTTTCACCTTTGTTCTTTTCTCCCAAGTCAAAACCCTGCTCAGCAAAGGTCAAGTCAGCAGCAAGGGTGTCAGACAGATGCTCTGTGATCAAGCAAACCCAGTGGAGGATGGACTCTGCATCAGTTCAGCAAAGAGAAACAGAGGGTCAGGGTTAGGGTCAGCCTCATCCCTGTGGCTGCAGAGCCCCACAAGTGAGAGTCACAATTGTGCCTCAGTGCAGTGCTGGCATGTTCTGAGAACCCACCAGGAATTATAAAGGATTCCAGTTTCCATGATGCCACCAGCACCTCAAGAGACCTTCAAATAACCAGACAGAAGCTGACAATGTTTTCTCTTTTCCTTTTTTTTTTTTTTTTTTTTTAATATAAAAAAAGAAAACCTAAACCCAAACCATTCTCACCAAGTGCCCCTTCCTGAGCCGTACCGCAGCACCTTCCCCATGGAACACCACAAGCTCCAAGCATGAACTGACAAGCAACTCATTTCCATTCCAGCAAGGAAGAATAATGTAGAACTCAAGAAAACAGTGAACCTCTTTGGTATATAACAACAAAGTTATACCACACAGCTCAGTGGGTACCATTTCCAAATGGTTACTATAAAAGAGCGTTAGCTAGCCCAACTCTTCTGGTTGGAGATTTCCTTAGAAGCATCTCCTACTTGCCCTAACATCACAGCTTTTGCCCGAAAGAGCAGGGGAGGACCTCAGGGACTAAAGCCCTTAGCAAGCCTGGCAGCTGTGGCTCTTTCACAACCCAAAATCCTGGGATCTCTGCAAGACAGAGGCAGCCTGGCAGGATAGGAAGCAGCACGATTTGGAAGCAGGAAGAAGGAACAGAGGTGGCAGCAGGAGGCAGCGGCTGGAGCAGTGACACTGCATCCACAGCAGCATCCAAGGGACGAGGAGAGGGCCCAGAGGTGCTCAGATCCAGCAGCACAAGGGGAGCAGCAGAACTCTCCCTGCAGACCCCAAGGCCTAGAGAGAATCGAGTGGTGCCGTGCTGCCGGCACTCTGGCGCTTCGAGGGCAGGCAGAGCTGGAGGCTGCTCCCACAGCTGCCCCAGTGCCAGCTCAAGGAGTTTGGCCCGAGGAGATTAAAGTCGTGTCACCGGGCTCACGAGGTCAGAAAGCTTTAAAATCGAATTATGCAACAGGAACAATCTGCTGCCTAGCACCTTCCCCACCCAGGGCCAGGAGGGCAGTGCTGTTTCCTGGTAGAATCAGTTCCAGAGGCGTTCCAAGACAATTCAGCTGCTGCAGGCAGGATTCATTCTCGTTAGGGCTGCTACAGGCTAAGTTATCTGGAAGATCCCTGAATGTGCAACAAAGGACTGATCTCAAGGAGGAGGAACGAGCTTCTGATCTGTGAGTGACCCAGCAGGCTGCCCAACTCCGCAGCCTTCCACCAGCTCCTCCTGGGTGGCTGGGAAATACCAACAGGCACCTCCCGATGCCGGTGCCACACAGGCACTGGGCGCAGCAGGAGCCGGGCGTCTGCTCAGCCAGCCTGGTTTTTGCCCATGTTACAGTTCCAGTTTGACTCCTTTAATAAAAGGGAGACCCGATGGCACCTTCCTTTTGTACTCCAGGTACTCTTCTCCAAAGAAGTGAATGAGTGTGATCTCCTCCTCCTCGATCCGCTCCCTGAAGAAGCGCCAGGACGCCAGTGCGTAGCCCACCACGCAGATGGGATTGCAGAGCAACACCTGGAACAGATGCTGCTGGTGAGCATCCCCTCGAGAACCCAAGGCCCCACAGCTCATCCCCCTCCAGTAACACTGACACAGAAAAAGACCCCAAAACTCCCTGTGAAACTTCACAAGCACTAGTTTCTCCCCAGAATGAAGAAAGCAGGGCACAGGCAGCACTGGCTTCACTGCCCCAGCTCTCAAAAGCTCCATATGCCACACTTATGGACTCTCTCCAGAGAAACACAAGCCAATGCCAGCACCCAGCCAGCCACAAGAGCACACAGCTACAACAGCAATGAGCTAAGACTCGGTCACAGCTGGCGAGAGCTGACCCTCTAGTCAGGGAGTTTCCTTGCCCTCAAGCACAGGACTGGTGTTTGTCAGGAGCCAGCTTGAGTCTGACCACTCACAGAAGGCATTTTGATCACAGGGATACAGAAAACTCTGCATACCAGCTTTAGACCAGCAGCAAATCACACCTCGAGCCTCCAAGGGAGCTGTGGGTCAAAACTCTGGCTCCACCACCTTTCCTTACTGCACAGAGAAAATTAAGGGAACAAGATCTTCCCAAAGATCACATGAGGCAGAGCCCTCAGGGATTCCAGATTTCCTGTGTGCCAGTGGGAGGCAGCAGAATCCATGCCCAGCAGCAGGTGCTGTCTGCACCCCATCACAGCATGGGCAGCATTGAGAGCAAAGACTGGGGTTGTGACAGGAAAGGATCTGAGCACTCTGGATACAGTACCTGTGTTCCAATACTCCAGTAAAACCATCCCACGTAGGAGGGGTGCCGGAACCACCCGTACACCCCACTGGTCACCAAAGTGTGGGTGTCAGATTTCTCGTTCTGAACGATGTGGTTGAAGTTGGAGCCAGCTGTGAGCATGGCTGCCTTCCTCAGGCAGTCCCCGAAGATCACCATCAGCAGCCCCACGGTGCTCAGCCAGGTGATCTGCTTCAGCTCTGCATGGACAGGGAGGGGCACAACAGGTTTGCACAGGTCTCCAGGGGGCTGCTCAGCGAGTGGGCTTTGCCCCCCATCTCAAAGCAAAAAGCCATGCCATCCCTCACCAAACAGACAAAACCAGCAAGCCCTGCTTGGTGTTAGCATGGATTAGTCCGTGGGGCCCAGCTGTAGAGGCTGAGCAAAGCCAACACAAAGCACAGCCAAGGACATGCTCAGGCTGCTACAAAACAAAGGCGAACAGTTTCCCTCTCCCAAGAATAAATAGATGAGCACAGCCAGTTTGCCCCAGACTGGGCAACCAGCAACAGATTCTGACATGATTTTATTCCTGCCAAAAGGCGACGCCCAGGTGAACCTGACACATCATTCTTGCACCACCAAGGCAGGAAAGGGCTGAAGATCCCCTGGCCTGGCATGTCAGAGTGAGGGGGGGGCTCCCCCCTGCCCTCCTGAGATCCAACCCAAGAGGCTTTGAGCACTGAGGGATTATGACCCTGGCAAAGCTGCTGAAGGGTTGTCACGGGGCAGCAAGCTGAGGGTCACCTGCCCTTTGTCACCAGACAGATGGACCCCAGGCAAGCCACGTGCAGCTAGGCAGAGTCAGAGAGAGACAGGGTGGCCGACCTGGGAAGAAGAGCTTCTCCAGCGTGAACTCCACCCAGGAGGACAGGGCAGCCAGGTTGTACTCGAAGCTGTGGTTGAGCAGGAAGGAATCCAGCGAGAGGCTGCGCGGGTTGTTGATGGCAGTCACCAGATACTCCGAGTAGTGAAAGAGGGACAGGGAGCACATATACCTGCGGCGGGAGGGAGGGCAGGTTCAGTAGGGCCGGGGGCACCGCGCCCGCCCGGCTGCCCGGCCCGGCCCTTACCATCCGAAGTGGCGCCAGGCGGAGCGGCCGGCGCTCAGCAGCAGCCCGCAGCCGAAGGCGAAGCCCAAGAAACAGGCCCGGACGGCGATCTGCAAGCACAGGGAGGGGAGAACGCGCTGCCGCCGCCGCTCCCCGGGCCCGGGGTATCCCTACCGGCGCACCCCGGGACCGAACCCTGCACAGCCGCCCGCCGGGGCCACCCCCGTACCTTGTAGAGCGGCCGCGGATAGATGAGCAGCAGCGCCGCGTTCACGCCCGCCACGTGCAGGGCGAGAGCCAGGCGGCCGCGCAGGCCGGGAGCGGCCAGCAGGGAGGGGGACGAGCCGAGCAGCAGCGGCAGGGCCGCCACCGAGGCGCCGAGCAGGAAGGAGCAAAGGCTGGCGCGGCCCTCCCGGCCCAGCCGCCCCCTCCGCGCCACCGCCGCCGCCATCATGGCGGCCCCGCCCCGCCCGCGTCGCCCGGGAAACGGCCTCGCCGCTCTCGCGAGAGCCCCGCCCCGCGCAGCCGTGGCAGCAGAGGAGAGGCGCTGCTCTCGCGAGAGTTGCGCGGCGGTCGCCGCCGGTGCTGTGAGGCGCGCTCGGGCCGCGGCTGCCGCCGCTGGTTCGGGTTCGGTGTCGGGGCTGGTTCGGGTTCCGTCACGGAGCCGTCAGGGTTCAGGACCTTTTC